AGTCACTCTCAATCACCAAACAGTTAGTTATCCATGAAGATAAACAAAAATCATTGTATTATTGATAACAAATAATAACAAAGTAGAAGGAAAACTTAGTAAAACTTAGGTGGATTAATGGAGTTGATGATGATCTCCTCCAATTCTTCTTCTCAAAGCTTCTTTTCTACATTATTTTGTATTTTTGTTTCTCTCCATTCTCTCTCTCTTAAAAATACCTAAAGACATCATTTTATAGTACTAGGGTTGTGGGAAAAATGATAGACTCCATGTGGAATAACGATTCCTACGGTGACCCTCTAGTACTAAAATTGGAATATCTTCCTCTAGAAAACTCAGAATAACAAACCTTAAAATATTATATAAACTAGACTCCTAGAGCTCACAACATAAATGGCACAACTTCCAATTTGTTCTAAGGAATTTATGGTTGCTTCATGAAATTTCCATCTCCTGGAGACACCTTTTCCAAACGAGAATCTGAATGTCGTGGCGCTAGAATTTTTCTGTCGCAATGCCAAAAAAGCTTCGAATTTCAACACAAAAAGTTAGAATCTAAAGAAGTCATAAATATAAGAATTGTATCCTTCAATTTAACTTTCAAATGGTCCAAGAATCATCCAAATTGAAGGTTTACAGATCAAGTTATTGTTGAAATACCGAAGCATGCTCAAAATTGGAGCATTTTCTAGATTTTGTGCTCCATGCTAAATATGCCATATCTTCCTCATTTCAACTCCGATTCTCGAATCGTTTGTTTCTAGTCATCACAAATTCTCTTGCCAACATCATCTTTCATCTGAATATTATTTTTAAGCTTTTATTACCTAAAAACACAACAAAAATACATGTGATCCCAAAAGTGCATTTATGAAACAATTAAGTCAGTTCATGCAAATTAACCCTAATTTCCCATAAGCGATACCTATAAACCACTAAGTATAAGTGAATTTTCAAGAACTTATCATTATTTCTCTTGGATTGCATTAAAGTTCCCTACTCTGAACTTATCCACCTCCAATTGGTAGTAGTTTAGAAGGTACGAGAAGTCAAAACTGGGATCCTGCCTCCTTGTCTCTCTGATCAAGTATAGCAACATCCTAGAAGCATATAGCTCACCCTTATGCTTCTCTTGGGCTATTACCTCTTCTATATCAACCACCTCCTCTTTAAGAGCGACGATCCCAGCTTTGCACTCCTTCTTCTAGGACTTGATAACCTTAGCCTTTGATCGCAAATTGGACATCTGAAACTTCAGTGAGTCCCTCTCCAACTTGATCTCTTCCTTATTAGCCACCTCTTCTCAGAGCCCTTGAAGCTCGCAATCCCTTGACAACAAAAGCACCTCAAAAACTTCCCTTTTCTTGGCAATATCGACTTTGGCAACACCGAGCTCATCCTTCATTTTGCTGGCTTGGTTTGCCACAACCTCCTTAACTGTCTCAAGCTCTCTAATAATCTTGTTAGCAGCATCGATCCTTGGACTCGCCTCCCACTGAAACATCGCCAGGGTGTTATAACCTTGTGCCCAAGAATCAAAGGTTAGATAGGCTCCGAATATAAAATAAAACAAGAAAATACAAGTAGGCCAAAGCGAAAACTGATCGCATAACTTTGTAATATCATTCATCGCATTGGCTAGCTTCTCAATGAGAGACATTACTCCTCATCAATAATGATCTGGTGAAGGACCATTGCCCATAGAGCAATGCAGGTCGGGACTTTCATGCCTCCAATCTCCTCTTGATCCTTGCCGCCCAAGGAGGCCACGCATGACTCATCTTGAAACTGGAAGAAGGATCGTTCATCACCTAAGTTTGCCTTCTTCTGAGATGACAGTTGGCAACACATCTAACCCTTTGCACCTCTCTTTAGCCTCTAGGTAGTGATGTCTAGTGCCTTCTATGTCATTTTCTAGGAAACCCTGCATTGCTCCTTTCTAAAGTCCTGTCGTGAAGACTTTTGTACCCACCCCTTGCATCTCGAGGCTGTTTGCCTCAGAACCAGGTGTTAGAGTGGGTGCCCTAGTTCCAATCAATTATTGTAGAATTGACTCTTTGTAACAATGTTCATTGATCAATAAAAAGGAATTTTATTCTATATCGCGTAAATAATTATTGTATATATTAATATATGTCCGTAGAACCATGACAAGGGTATCAAGTGTTTCAAATCTTGATAGTGAGAACCCTATGAGCACATACGGTGGCCATTCTAGAAACGTATATAGCCCTAGTATTATTCTGAAGTAAGGGCACAGATAATACTATAAGGTTATCACAGTGTTGAAAGACCCTGTCGAAAGGCAGTGACTAATCTCACTTGTCGAGGTTGTTTGGTGACAACCTAGTGCAACACATGGGTGCTTGTTATAGGCAAGTTCACTGGACTGACCCACCAGAGGATTCTATATGGATGGTAACCCCAGTGTCTATGGAACAAATCCTCTAACGAAAGGTGGTGCATGTGATCCTTAGACTTGAGATCACTAGAGCGTCTTGTGCACCGATTGGTGTACTTTGACACTAGCCCAACACAGTTCTATTTAGAGCTATCAATACAGTAGTGATTGGTTACATCAAGGAGTGTATCAAGATTATGATGGATCGACAGAGGATTCATCACTCTCGGGTATGGGGGAAGTTATCTCACAACGTAATTCAGTAAATGACAATGGCATTAAAAACTGTGGCCACAGTGGGATTGAGTTATTGCTCTATCTAGTTTATAATTTCGGTCATTGGTCTAGTAACTGAATACATACATAGCAAGAGTAACTGAGGTTGACACTATTTATGTGCCTCGATCTCGTTGAGATAATGGATGATGAAAGGATTGGATTGTACGGTAACCATATCGTTGACAGGTAGTTGCTTCGCTGAATCAGACTTTATCGAGTGGCCATGATGTCTTGCTAAGGGCCAATCTTGGTCTGTGTGTAGTGAGACGATTAATTAGTGTTAATTGCGATATTACACACTACCGGTATGATAAGGAGCCTACGGGTCACACACATAGAAGATAATTTAAGAACCAGTTTATAAGAAGGGCATTTTCGTCTTTTTAGGCAAAATGGTATTTCCGTAATCTCACAGTGCAATTAAATTTTCTGAGGTTATAGCCTTTATTTAATTTGATATTAAAAATTAAATAAGTAAGATTATATTTAAATATGTGTACGGATATATTTAAATGACTTATTGTTAATGTTAAATGCTAATATATTTTACAAATATTAATTGAATTTAATTGAAATAATAATAATAATAATTAAAATATCTAAATGGGTTGTTTGGACATAGGGGTTGTTTGGGTTGGTGCCCAAGCCTATTCCATGATGGAATAGGACATTGTGTGAACTATATAAGTGCAGGATTTTGTGAAATGAAAAAAACAATTCATTCAATCATTTTGATTAAAAATTCCAGCCCCTTTTTCTCTCTTCCCACGCCAGATTGCTTTTATGTGATGAATCAAATATTCATTTGATTCTTGTTCTTGGTTCTTAAGGCTAAAGAGGATCTAGCAAATCCTTCTTTAGTTCCTTAGGGTTATCTTCATGTGAACTACCGCTGGTTCGATCCTACCCTTGGATTGGTAGCGAAACCCATTCAGAGACACGTTGGAGGAGCCTCTAAATGTGCGTATGATTTCTTAACTCTAAACTGATTTTTCTACAGATTCTAATTTTAATTTATAAACTGAAAATTTGTGTCCTGATCTTGGTCTTAAGACCGAGCGTATAGGAGCAGCACTAGTCTCAAGCTTCTTGGCCCATATCCCTAGAACCACAAACGGCAGTTAATAAATCTCACACAAATAAGGTGTTTAGTGAAACAAATTCTACTTACTCTTCCTCGCAGCCTTAATGAAAATGGTTTGAAATGTTGCCGACAAAGGACAAAACTTGAAGGCAATTAGATTCTTGAGAGTAATCAACTTACTCAGGTCGCAATCCACTTCTAGCAATAGGCTGAAATCAGCAAGGAGAGTTTGGGTCTCAATTGACAAGAAGCACTAGTCGCGATTGACTAAAAACAAAAAGGGGAGAAGTAAAGGCGTTTGCAAACCAACGGTGCTGCAACAATAAACAAACAGCAAGGAGACCTACCAACATCCCCAAAAGACGCGTCCCCTCGCATGAGCAAAAGAAGTAGTCAAAATCCCATTTTGGGATTCTGTTCAGAATACCGACCATCCCAGCATCATTACATTTCGTCTTGGAGAGGTAATAAGAACCCTCCTTAGTTTTCCTTAAACAATACATATATACAAACTAGTCCATGGAAAGCTCACCCAGATTGGCCTTCCGAAAGGCAATGTACATGCTAATCATATATAAATATGAATTGATGGTGAGCTACAAGGGAGCGATCTCAAATAGCTCCATCACCAATTGAATGAAGTGGTGTTGAGGAATCGACACCCCACACCTCAAGATCATCCTAGATATAGCCACCCAACTACTGGGTGGGTTATCCGATACGCTGCTGCCCATCGTGCAAAGTATGCAACCCAGCCATATTCCCGTTGAATGTGACCTAGCTTGTCGATAGGCAGGGCCACGAGAAGGTTTCCTGTGGGCTTAACCACTAACAAAGGAATAGGATTCTCGATGGACCTAGCGTCCTCCACCATATAAGATCGACTTTAGCTCCGCTGGGTCAACTCCCCTTGAAGATACCTCACTCGCGAACCTAGTTCACTTTATCAAATCATCTCCAAAGGCCACGGTTATGAGCCAGCTGATATTATCGGCCATTCTACAAACTCGTCGTTAGGTACCTGAAACACGTAAGGACAAGTGGTACAACCTAAGTTCCTCCTACAAACCAATCTACCTACACTTGCCCCTGGTCCTAAGACTGAAATGCTCCTAAGTAAAACACCAGTCGGTGAACCCTGAATGTCCACCCAAAAAGCTTAGCACGGATCCTAGAAACTCTGGCAAAACACAAACCTAAACTAACCTCACACGCAACCAACCCTGAAAAAGTGACATGCAAAAGAGGGAAAGAGAGGAACTCACCAATGAGAAGCGATGTGAAGGGTTAGAGCGTCACCACCAAAAAATGCAGCTAGAAAGCAAGAAGGAAGACATATCAGAAACCAATGATCTAGATGATGGTCGTTCTGCTGAGAAAATGTAAGTGAAGCGAGGAAATCTAGGTAATAATCCACATGGCATATTATTTAAATTCAAATATGATTTTTATATTCATATATTATCTTTACTAATATTAATATCATCAAATATTAATATTAAATAATATATATAATATTTAAATATATGAATATATTTAAATACATAATCTCACTGATTTTAGTTTCACTATGAAATTAAATATAGGTGACAACCTCAACAAATTTAATTGCACTATGAAATTATCAAAATGCCCTTTCATCTCAAAAGACGAAAATATCATTTCCATCATAAATGACGAAAATACCCTTTCATCACAAATGATGAAAATACCTTTTCTCACCAATTCATCCTTAATCTATCTTTTATATGTGTGACCCGAAGGCACCTCATCATATCGATAGTGAGTAATCTCGTGATTGACACCAATCAATCGTCTCACTAAACACATACCAAGATTGGCCTCTAGCAAGGCATCATGGCCACCTGATAGATTCGGATTCAGCAAAACAGCTTGCCTATCAACGATATGGTTACCATGCAAACCGATCCTTTCATCATCTGTTATCTCATTGAGGCTAAGGTACATAAATAGTGTCAACCTCAGTTATCTTTGATATCTTTGTATTCAGTTACTGGACCAATGACCGGAATAATAAATTGGATTGAGTAACAACTCAATCCCACTGTGGCCACTGCTTTAGTGTCATTGCCATTCATTGAATTGCGCTGTGAGATAACTTCTCCAGTACCCAAGAGTGATGAATCCGTTGTTAATCCACCATAGTCTTGATACACTTCTCAATGCAGCTAATCACTACCGTATTGATAGCTCTGAATATAGCTACGTTAGGCTGGTGTCAAACTACACCAATCGGTGCACAAGGCGCTCTAGTGATCTCAAGTCTAAAGATCACATGCACCACCATTCGTTAAAGGATTTATTCCATAGATATTGGGGTTATCATCCATATGGAATCCTCTGGTGGGTTTGTCAAGTGAACTTGCCTACAGCAAGCACCCATGTGTCGTACTAGGTTGTCGACAAACAAACTTGACAAGTGAGATCAGTCATTGTCTTTTGATAGGTTCGTTCAACACTATGATAGCCTTACCGTATTATCTGTGTCCTTGGTCAGAATAATACTGGGGCTACAGACATTTCTAGAATGGCCACCATATCTGATCATAAGATTCTCACTATCAAGATTTGAAACACTTGATGCCCTCATCACGGTTCTACCATCCTAAAGACATATATCAATACACGCAATTATGATTTACATGATATAAAAGAAAACTGCCTTTTATTGATTGATAAACATTATTTTAGAGAGTCAATTCTACAATAATTGATTGGCTTTAGGGCACCAACTCTAACAGTTAGTTCTAATCCTAGACCACATAATGTTGAGCAAGACCCATTGGCGGTAGAGACTGGGGTGGCCGGTGGCGATAGGAGGTTTTTGCCAATGCATTCCCCTAAGAGAAGAAGGAATACGAGGTAATGGATGCATTCTCTGTGAGGCTCGCTGCTGGAGGGCCGTCCTCTGTGAGGCTCACTGCTAGAGGGTCGTCCTCTATTCATGTTTAGGTATCTTCTACGACTCCTAAAGAGGCCATGGTGTCCTTCCTAGAGTATCTACACAAGCCCATGGGTACCCTTATGGATTGTGTCATGGCGAGGGACTGGGATGAGAGCAAGCAACTTACCAAAGCTGACTTGCTGAAGAAGGTGGCTAGCGATCAAGCTTAGGTGTGCTGTGTAGTAACAAGATTCCTTTTGTTCGTGGGCTTGGTCTGTTGCTTATTCGCTTACTGCAAATTTGTGGAACTCTTTTCATAGTCCAATCTTCTTTTTCAAGAGACCTGCGGTGATCTCCTAATGCTAGAAGAGAATGCCAAGAGACTTCGATGAGCTGAGGCAAAATTGGTCGAGCTAGAGATGATCTTGAAGGTCAATCGGATTACGATTGAGGGGGAGTTGGCACTGCAATGCAACACGATTGAAAAAATAGGGAGCGGCAAATCACCAAGCTTCGATTGGAAATGTCCACTTTCCAAGAGCAAACGCGTAAAGATCGGTGAACCATTGCGACCCTTTAGCAGCAACAGGACAAGCTACAACACTAGGTTGTGGCTCACTAGAGTCTTGTGTGATGGCACTTTTCTAGCCAGATTTCCTTCACACATTTGATGTCTCCATTTGATGCTAGGATCATGTCCATACCTGAGATATGTGTGAGTGGTTCATATGCACATGTCAATAGCTCATATGCTCTACTAGGAAATTAGTTTTAGCTTTTCAGTGGTCCCAAGGAAGTTTGGTAAAAACTTCCCTAAAATAGCTAAACATGAAAAGTGGTTGCTGGCTGGTTATCCTCTTGCATTTTTACACAAGTTTCTTTATATTCGTCTTCAACAATGCATTTCATTTTGAGCCTGAATATCCCTCTGATAATTCTCTAATTATCCTTTGAGGTTTTTGTTGTTTTCATTCAGGTTTCATTATGCTTTGGTAAGCTGTAAAATACGTTGTTTAATCTTTGCTTGTTTGAGTGCTTTGGAACGTGGTTCCTTTGGTGCATGCTTGAAGGAGTTTCAAGTTGTTAGAGCTGAAGTGCATCTTCAGTATTGAATCTTGAGAAGAGCTCAAGGATGACCAGGTGGTCTCTCGGTGTGAAGCAAGCTGTGGTAGTTCAAAGTTCAACCAAAAGGTGAAGTTTGAAGTGTTGTCATAACAGGGAGTGTTTTACAACTGATACTTGTCTTTGGCTTTGTAGTTGAACTACAAATGTTTATCATAATGGAGTTTCTTTGTTTGGACTTGGTCCCATAGATGTAGGCAGTTTGTCGAACCATGTAAAAGTGATTTGTGTGCTTTACATTATGCCATGTGTGTTTAGTTTATGTTGATGATGAGCAAGCAAACCCATAAGCACAAAATGAACAAGTTTTACATATTTTGCATAAGTTTTATAACTTGGTAATTGTATAAAACTTTCAAACTCGAGTGAGGATTAGTGTTGGTGTTCCTCATTGTTGCTATTTTTCTTTCTCTCTCTCTCTTTTTTTTTTTTTTTTGGCCAAAAAGGGTGCATTTGTTTTCCTATCCTATTCATATTCCAAATCAAAATTTTGTCTTCAAAGTGAGCAATTTTTGGGAGGTCCATTTTCAATCATACGTAACTCTTATTATTGTCAAATGTGGGATAATATCTTCCAATACTAGTGACAGCAAAAATATAGAAATTTTTTCTTTTTTCTTTTTNTTTTTATGATATCGCTTTTCTCGCAGCAAGCCTCCTTCGACGACATTTGAACTTATGGTATGTGATGAGGGCGTAGGTTGCCGCGTTTTGTAGGGACAGAATGGTATCTCTAACTTTTCAGATTTAAGATGCATTTAATGCAGGTGCCAGGGTATGGCCATACCAATTGATTTGAAAGTCTGTGATGCCTCGCTTTTTCAAGGTGATGATTACGCTATCCCAGCCAATGAAGTGCACATGGCACTACAACAATGGTTTAGATTATTTCCCACTCAAGTTGCATTGCTGATAAAAGTGGATTACTTCTCGCTCAAGTTGCATTGCTTATGAAGTGCATATGGCATTAGAGCAACGGTTTAGATTACTTCCCGCTCAAGTTGCATTTGAATAAGATGCCATGTGGATTATTACCTTGTTTGGTAATGAGGATTTACTATTCTAGTCATGGAATAAACTTATTCCTAACTAGATTAGGGTTTTAATTTTTATTGCATATAAAAGGCAACTTAAAATTAAAATAAAATGAGAGAACACATTAATTAAATCAAAGCCACTCACCTCACTCTCTTTCATGTTTTTCACTTGGTGGAGAAGAGAATTTTTCTTGAAGAAAAATTCTGCATCTTTCTTGATTGTGTGTCTTGCTAGCACTTGAAACCGCAAGTCGATCGCCATCTTGTCTTCATGTGGATACCGAGAGTTCACTCTTATCTTAGAGTGGGAGCGATTCGTATCGATTAGAGGAGCCTTCAAACGCTGGTATGAAATCTGGAAATTTTATATTCAATATTATTTCATATGTAAATAATGTAAATCAGGTATAAGGTTCTTGAGTTCAATGTGGTTGTTGGGGATTTTATTTTGTTTTCTATTGCGTAAACCCTATCAGTGACTAACAGTAACTTCATCCTCCTCTATCGAAGGACAAGAAGGCCCGACTCCTAAGTGAAAGGTCTATTGGAACGCTTGCAAATGGTCAACCAAGTCGTCTTGCTGCTATGACCACCATCACCAAGAAGATCGTGTCCACTAGAATACATCTACAAAACGACTTAAAACAATCACTCACGACAACTTGCAAAGGCGGCGCAAATAACAGAAACAAAGGAAAAGCATAACCTTGCAAAACCTGAAGACACGACTAAAAAAAAAAAAAATTACAGAGATAATGCGCAAAATTTGGCTAGATACGCAAGAAACCAAGAAGCAGAAGAAGCACACGAGTAACCCTTCATAGAGGAATCGATCATATTTATAGGCGTTAAAGGTTACCAACCGACTCTCAATGATGGTCGGTTGCCATTCCAAACGATTCATTATGATTGGAAAAGAAATAGACGCGTCTTTTTCCAATGTGCTATAAAAACCCAAATTCAAAAAGGCACGCCCTCGAATTGAAAAGACATTACACAAAAGTGACGTGATAGCTCAGAATTTGCACCAAATGAACAATCGTGTTCATCGAAAATACTACATAATTCACACCACCAAGTTTTTGAAGCCTGATCTCGCCCTTCTAAAAATTTAGGGGGGAGGGGGGTGCAGTTAATGATTACTAGTGATTGATGATGTTATGTGGTGGGGCGCGGTTAATGATTACTAGTGATTGATGATGTTATGTGGTACATACAGGTTAGAATTAACCTTTCGAAGCTCGCAAATTTTCAAATTTTAAAAATCGGGAGCAATCTGTGGAAATCAAAGAGTCCTCACAAGTAAAAATGCGCAGGA